TTATTTTTATTGTTCACAATCACTTTAACTTAACATGTGTGTGCGAGCATGATGAAGTTTTCTCTATTTAAATGCAATGTTTACTTTAGGCAAATCAAGCGGTAAAAAAAGGCGCTTTTCATTGAGCGCAATAAAATAGCAATAAGGTGCCTTTGATGTGCGGTAATTCGCACAAATGCTAATTGATTGGTGCTTACGGGAAAACCATGGTGGCATTTTTTCTTCATTTTCCCGGTTGTTCAGTTGCAAAATTTTGTAATATATTTGCAGATGACCAATTGCTTGGACCACCACTTTTTCTTTGGCTGCCAAAGACTGTGTCACTGACACATTATTGATTTTCGGCCCAGTAAAAAAAGCAGACAGTATCGTTGCTGTCCTCTTTTGAACTTTGTGTGTCTGGCTTTTATTTACCGAGGCGATTGACTTGTTGGCACGATCGATCGGTTTTCGTCTGCAGAAAACATCGCCATTAGAGTCATGATTTATACCGATTCAAATGTGGCCGGTCACGCTCGGTGCCAATGCATTTCCATAAATCTTGGCAATAGTGTGCTCAGCGGCTTATGGTGCCTGCGCCGGTCTTTTTGTGTCCGTTTTCTTTTTTAACTGTCTGAAATCCATGATCAAGCGCTCAATTGGCGATGGTAGTTTCGTTTGAACAAAAGTTTCAGCAACCGCAGCAGAGGTGCTTCCTGTGGGGAGATGTTCAGACTCTCTTACTTCTTCTGATGGCGCTTTTCTTCTGCTTCCAATTAGTGCTGCTGTGTTAATCTACTTTATTGGCCTAGTAAGGCACCTCTGACGAGCACACATTGTGTAAGTTTACTTTGTGCCTGTCACTGGCAAACCAACGGAGCGTTGATTAATTGCCTTTTTATTGTAATGAGTCCATTGGCTGCCTGATGATGGCTTGGCTGTTTGTTCTAATGTGTAGTTTTCAGTGGACGCACTGAAAAGTAGAATACTTAGAACTGCTCAGTGTTTCACACACACCCAAAGTATAGCCATCACAGACCGAGCTTGGCTTGACTGGGTTTTTGTGTAAAGTGTCGATTAATCGGTTTAGCATCCAGTTGGTGTTCCATTCGCATTGTTTGCTCCATTGTTTTGCTCCTCTCTTTTCTGCTGAAGCCAATTGAAAACGACTTTAAAGCAGTACTGTCATTGCTCTTTTTTGTGCACTGCACGGCCCTAGTCTGTGCACGTGCACCCGTGCGTGCACTCATGAAGGCACAGTGTTCTAGGCACATTCACGCGTTCCTGTTCCAAAAGACAATTACCCTCGAGGTGGCCATAACAACGAGACACAACATCAACACACATCAAACACAAACGCACACAGAGACAGGGACAGTGATAGGGACCTAGTGAAAAGCCTCTTTTGCACCGACTACTGATCGGCTTACTTCTGCCATNACAAACGCACACAGAGACAGGGACAGTGATAGGGACCTAGTGAAAAGCCTCTTTTGCACCGACTACTGATCGGCTTACTTCTGCCATCAAAAGTGCTGTCCATCACCGACGTTTGTTTGCCAAACTTTCGATTAGTCTGTTTGCTGTTGCCTAAGTGGACAATTACGTAGAGCTTTATCTTTGCTTTTCTTTTTTCACTTTCCTGGTACCTGCGGGTAGTCACTGTTGTTTTTGAGTTTGCAGATTATTTCTCTGTCTTGCTGAGAAATAAGTATCATTGGAGGGGTGAGTCACTTTATGGAGTGACTGTCCATTTGGAGCCCGTTTCGTGCCAGTTGGCAATATAAATCTGAAAATAAGTAGACACGGCAACTTGAAAAGATAAACTTTTGATGACATTGCTAGAAATTAGAGTAAAGTGACTGTGGTAACCACTGCTACCTAGCAGTCAATTAGGTTGCAGTCTGGTAGCTTTTCAATTTACTTTCTGTCCATCTCTTCAACTGCTGAGAAAGTAAACATGTGCATAGTTTGCACATGCAATTTTGGTAAACTAGGTTGGCTTTTTCTTTCTTCTTTATTCTTTTTCTGTTCTATTTATTAAAGTTTTTTTATTTGCAATTACCNTGCTGAGAAATAAGTATCATTGGAGGGGTGAGTCACTTTATGGAGTGACTGTCCATTTGGAGCCCGTTTCGTGCCAGTTGGCAATATAAATCTGAAAATAAGTAGACACGGCAACTTGAAAAGATAAACTTTTGATGAGATTGCTAGAAATTAGAGTAAAGTGACCACTGGTAACCACTGCTACCTAGCAGTCAATTAGGTTGCAGTCTGGTAGCTTTTCAATTTACTTTCTGTCCATCTCTTCAACTGCTGAAAAAANCATAGTTTGCACATGCAATTTTGGTAAACTAGGTTGGCTTTTTCTTTCTTCTTTATTCTTTTTCTGTTCTATTTATTAAAGTTTTTTTATTTGCAATTACCGATCGACTAAACCAATTATCAACTAATTTCTCCCTTTTCCTTCCTTCCTTTCTCGCAGAGTGATCAAAGCACCAGGCGGTGGCTCTTCAAACATTTTCGGCCCCGAAGGAGGCAAACAGCAAAGCAACGGCAATGGCTCGTGCAGTGAAACAGAGTCCGTCGACGGCTCTGTCCTTTCCTGTCCCTCCACCCCGGTGCACAACGGCAACGGCAATGGCTCTGCCTTTGGCTACGAATCGGACACCAGCTCTACGCCCAGTTCGGCTGCCTCCAGCCGCCGTGGTTCGCTTGCCGAGACGAAGAATCGCGTCTTTGGATTGGCCGAGGCGGCCCCAACTGAGTCGCCCCGTCGCCGTGTCGTCGACCGCATGAAGTCAAACATCTTTGCCGAGCCTGAGCCGGCTCCCATTGTACGCACGCCTTCAGTGAAGAAGTACGAGCACGGTATGTGAATTTTTTCATTTGGTTTGTAATTACCTAAGATGGCATTGCATTTGGAGACACGCCCGGCAATGATGTGTGTGTGCAGGCGATTGCAGCAGCTGTAGATGTCTCATTTTACTCTGAATTTGGCTTTTCTGTTTTTCCATTAACAGTAATTTTGCTGAAGCACCGTGTCGGTGATTGACTCACTAACCGTGTGCAGTTCTTTTTTGACACCAGTTGTAGTCATTGTCAAGCTGAGTGGTACTTTTGTCTGATAGAGAGGCCAGTGACACTGCTTCAGCCAGAGTTGAGTGTGCCTACATTCACTCTGTTTATTGTTTTGCATTCTCTCCTTTTGCTTATACTACACTATTTTCCCTTTGCATGCTCGTACTAAATTTGTTTGTATTTAATGAGCAAATGCAATATATTCTGCAGAGAATAGGGGAAATTCACATGAGATGGCCTTATATGGCCATTAGCCCGTCTGCTCCCATCTGACGCAGTTGTGTTCTGGCACAGGACACTCTGGCAGTGTCTCATTTGAATTTATATGCCTTCACAGAAAACAGATGCCTACCGCAGAGTAGGGATAGCTAATTAATTAATTTTTACTTAATTAAATCGAAACGACTCTGCCCTTTACTGACACTGCTTCCTTATGGGTAATTACGAGTGGCGTGAGACAGGTCGATGAAACGTCGATTCTCGAATACAGATAAGCTGGAGATTTATTTGAATGCCTACTCACCAAACACAAATAATTGAATTTGAAGCAGCACATTTGACCAACGCTGATGTGAGTTGTGAGTGCATTCTGTTTGAATTCCTTGCTTAAGTTTTCAGCTGACAGTTAGTCTTCAACTGTAAATGTTTATTGGACGTTTGCAAAAGATAATCGAATTTTAATTCCATCATTGAATGCAGTGAGGCAGATGGCGCACAAATTGCGGTTCAACTGTGTTCCTGCTTACAAGTTTGTTTTCTTCACACAGTAGCTTTGAAGGCAGTACTCTATAGCCCAATCACTTGGATAGGGCATTTAATTTAATTTCGCTAATTTGTTCGTCTCGGTTTGTTTGTCTGTTCAATAAACAGATCAAACAGTCTGTGTGCGTGCTTTGAAGAAACTAGAGTTTCCTTACTAAGCACACAAGAAGTGCTGCGATTGGTGCCAGCAGTGTTGCTTGTCCACTGGCCCATCTCCAGACATGAACATGACCACCTCGAGACAAACAGAGTTTGGAGGATTGAACCGTTAAAGGGAAATTGTGTGCCTTCTACTGCCTGGCGGCAGTCACTAGAGTGAACTGTGTTCACATCGACCACTTCCCATTTCTCCATCATCATCATCATCGACTGGTGGCATTGTTTGCAGCCATCACTGGACATAACTCAAATATTTACCGTGTGGCGCTGGCTAGTCAAACAATCGATGCGCATGTTTCGATGCACTTTGCCTAGCCATCATCTCGCATTGCCTGGTAAATATTTAGCCTGATGATTAGTGCTTGTGTGTCAGAGAGAGAAAGGCTACACTGTCTCCTTCCCTCTTTTCTTTGCTAGTGGGGTCAGTGGATTAGAGCAGCGCAAAACCTCCTGCACTACAAAGACTTCTAAATTTACTGCACTCTCGACGTTTTCAGCTCACCGTCGCAGCTAAATGATCAGTCTATTATGGTGGCGGTGTTAGAAGCCTTGTAAACAAACACTGCCACCACCACCACAACCTAAGGAAAACACAAACAACATGTCTGCTTTCGATTGAAATTGCTGTAGTAGGCGAAAGGAGAGAAACTTTAACCACTGACATGGCTTTTCATACAATTTCTATTTTAAGTCGAGCTAAAGAATACTGTCTAGCTGAAGCTAGCCCATACATGTTTGAATATATCGATTTACGCCCAGTGATGGCTGACGCATACAACAGTGCCCACTGTAGTGTATCAAATTTCTTTCGCTATCCCCCTCAAACGGGAAAATGCTCAGTCGCCGCAGAGCGTCAAACAGCAGACGACCAAGAGATCGCCAATGCGGGCACAAACAAATATACACATTCGCACAAAAACTAGCACTGCCATTAATCGAAACATTTTCAATTTTGAAATTACATTATTTTTTCTGAAAACGGTGAAAACTGTGTGTTCATCTGTGCTCACTGCTCACAGTGACAAATGACTGACAGAAGGGCAGACTGCCTGGTGCGCAAAGAGAAGTCGCCCAAGTTTGTTTTACCCAATTGCCACTTGCTCATGTGTTTAGGCACTTTTGCCCACTGCAGATGCATCCTCACTTTGCATTCATATTGGCCTGTCACCAGAAAGATGAAAAACGTGTTTAATTTTTTTTCTTTTTCTGAATTCAAACTAAGCCCTCCAACTCTAACTCAATTCCCATTCGGCACATCTGCTTCGATACCTCAACTTAATAGCATTTAGAGCATCAGCACTATCTTATTAAGTTTTGAGCATTCCTCGCGTGTTACTGTACCAAGTCTGACATTGGATTGTCACACAGGCTTGTCATTGGTATAATTTTCAGCATTCTATCCATATTCTTAAAAGCACTTTTCATAAATTTCTCTGTGTGCTGAATATTTTTGAGTGCAGACTACTATCACGCGACCAGCAGAATAACCGTCAACAGTTTTGTAATTTATCCAGCCATAATTAATATTCAGTAAATCGGCTGGTTCACACCATTTGTCATGGGCACTTTGCACAACGTCCTTCGATATTCCATTAAGCTAAAGAGGCGCACACGCTACTAATCTTGCGGCTTGCCCGATATTGATCGACCAGGCGCAAGTACTTTTATCGGCAAATTACACTGTCAAAAGGAGTCAATACTACTGTTTCAGTGACTCATCAAAATCAATATATCCTTTCTACTGTCCTTTATTTATCGAGCGACACAGTGCATCACAACAAAAGTGTATCTCTTGCACTTCCTCAAAACTTTTTTCATTAATTCCTTGCTTTTATGTCAATTCTTTTATTTACGTCCAATCTGCGTTCGTCAAGCAAAATTATACAGCACATCACGCACAGCGTTCGAAACAAGTCAGAGGTCATTGACATTGACCAGCGAATATCTAGCTCTTTATCTACCATTATTCTTTCTTTTGCATTGCGTTTTTTTATTTTCCTTTTGCTTTCTTTGTCTTTTCAACAAAAAGTTTTACTGTTTCCGTTTGAAAAGTCATTTTAACTACCGATTTTTCATTAACGGTAATTCTTTATTGTACTGTTCTTTGATTTTTACACCAGCATTTTTGCCAGTCAATTTGGTATTGTCACTCAATTAATCAGTTTCAAATTATAAACTTGATCATGCCATATTTTAATTGAATCGTTTTATTCATTTTCTTCACAAAGCATTGTGTTGTGGTAAAATGGCAGCTTATTTGTTTGCTAAGCGCTCGATTGCTATAATTATAATTGATTGTCTTGGTGTGTTGCCTCTATTGCTGTCTCAATTTCCGTTGTTCCTCTTCACTGAAAGCACCTTCCTATTTTCATCACATCTTTCTCTTTGTTTGCAGTTGTGAACCGAAACCCCATCACTGGTGAGGTATTGGACAAGGCAGTTGCTCCACCTGCCAACGGAACTGCCAATGGCAATGGAACCGTCAATGGTAAGTGTTTTTCGCTTGCGCCACTGCTGTGATATCTCATTCACCTCCTAATCAATCACCACACAGGTGTCAATGGATCTGCATCTATGCCAAATACTCCAGTCCGCGTTCGACAGCCACCAGGTAAGTCAGACAAACAAAAGAAACACTGCTCGGTTGTGAATGTCATGTCCGATTAGCGCATCTAGAATGTGTTAATCTCTTGCTGTATTTTTAAATGGTGAAGGCATCATCATTTTATTGTTCAGCGATTCTAATCCGTGAACGGAATCGCCTTCAGTTTTGTTGTGTTGTTTGATTTATTACTAACATTTTTCTTTGATTCCCACGCAGGTGGAAAGTCATCGAACATCTTTGGCTAAGCTCACTGGGCTAGCTGAATTGCCTTCTTTCTCAATCGATTACAAATCAACAACACCCAACTTGAGAGAGGGAAGGACAACAGCAACGTGATCGCCATCAGATGCTTCAACAACAGCATTCTTTGCTCTCGTCACCATCACTACCAGCACCACCTTACCAGTAAATCCACTAAACACACTATGACAAACATGATTGACATGCACTTTTCATCAATGTCCACCTTTTGGCTATTTCTCAACTCTTTTTAATTTTGCTTTTAAGTAGCTCACCAAAATGCCCTTTTCTATGACATTCTCTCTTGCCCATTTTGATCTTCTCCTAAATAGTAGCACTTGCATATTTTCTCTTACGCGCAATACTATAAATTTTTATAAATCTTTTTACCTTTGTACTCTTTACTACTTTCTTCAAAAGTGCACCTTCTTTTTCTACGCATTTTGTAACTTTATTCTCAAAATCTGTCACAAACTCTCTTTTGTCCTCACCTTGTTGAACATGGAATCAACAGTTTCGAGACTTAAACAGAGCAGTACACCAACAGAAATTTCTGGTTGGTCGTATTTTTAATTGTAGTTTCTTTTTGTATTACACACAACACACTTATTATTACGACTACAAATTGATAACACACAATTTTCAATCGTATTATTGATACTTTATGACGCCGATTTTGATATTACAATTTTGCTACTAAATTGTAATTTTGATCTTCGTTTTCTTCCTTTTCCATTCTTACTACTACACATTAATCTACCGATGTATTAATTTTATAATATATAAACAAATAAAAACATCATTTTGTTATTACAAGTTTACAGTGCATCTTCGTTATCAACAATTGGATCAACATTTGCCACTATCAAATTGTTGGGCTTCTGTGTCAGTTTGATAATTTTGTTAAACTTTTCAGTGTTGAGAAACAGTCGAATGAGTTGTGGTTTACGGGCATTAGCAATGCTGTAGCAGACATTAAGAAGCTGCTTCAGGGAGTAGTTCACACAACGGGCAAACACCAGACAGCGCACTCGAGGGCACTGCTCAATGGCATTTATCGCCGAATCTTTACAGCGAGGCCCGCTGACAGTTAGTTTACGCAGGCATTGCAGTGATGCTAAAGATTGCATTGCTCGCTCACAACATGTTGTGCAGTTATCCTCCTCAAATATACGCAAATCTTCTGGTGCTGCCGGAGAGCCAATGGCCGGTGGAAGTTGCTGTGGTGGCAGTTGCTGAGGCTCCAGACCACCCACGACAGGCACTGGGTTCTGTACTTCTGGTGGTATTTCAATCACTTCAGGAAACTCAGGACATGAGCAGCAAATTCGTCCGCAATTCAATGTGCAATTTTCAATGTTAGGAAAAAAAAGAACAACAACGTCAAGTGTGTTTGGATCAATGTCGATGTCAAGATTAAGTACTTTGATTGTTTCGATTTGATTGGCGCATGCAAAATCCTGTAGATGGATGTTAGTTGATAGATCACTTTTTTCAGCTCCGCTCAAAGTCAAACTGCTCAATTTTGGTAAGTTTTTGAGTAAAATAAGATCTTCAATTTTTAACTGAAACAAAAACAGCACGTTATTAAACTAATTTTTAGATGATGAATTTACCCCTTGTTCCGTAAACAGTTCTAAGCAGGTTAGAAAGTTCAGATTAAAGCAAACAAATTGTAGCAAACTTCTCTCTGCAGTTGTTTGCTTAAGTACATCCGACTTGATAGCTAAATAGGTGACCTGATGTTTGATGGTGTTGTTCAAATTGGCTACTTCGGACAAACAGGATATTGTCAAATTGGAGTCGTACAAACCGAGCACGCGGATTTGTGAACCAAGTTGAGTCAACACCTGCAGTAGACTGTGCTCATAGCGACCCAACTGGAACTGCTCTAGTTGGGGCAACACATTGGGCAGTTTCAGTTCATCATCAACCCCAAACAGTGACAAATGTTTCAGTTGAGGCAGCGTGTCAAGACAAGACAACAGTTCGCGCCAGCAAACATTGCCCATCAGGTGAATCAACGATAGGCAGCGCAGCTGCTTCCACTGAAAAAGCAAAAACTCAAGAAGTACACTTTTTGAAATATGGCACCCATAGATGAGTAACATTTTGATATTGCAAAATTTGCTGGCTAACAGGCGACACATTGACCAGTCCAGTTTAGAAATGATTAGGTAGTCATTGACTGACTCAAAAAAACTACAACATTGCAATTGATTAAAGTAAATCGTTTCACAGTAGAAAAACGAGGTCAAAGTGGATTTATTTTCAAAAATTTTGATTGTAGTTTGTTGGTTGCATATTTGCTGATGAATTTTTTTCCAGCGAAGACAAACAAATTCGAGGTTCAAAACGTCGTTGAGTGAAAGATGTGCAAATATTTGTAATAGACAATCGTCGTTTAGTATATTAATTTCCATTTTTTAAACTAAAAGTTTTAAAAACTTTATTTTTGTTAAAACATAACAACAAGAAAAGAGAGCAGCTTTAGATCTAAAAATAGTTCCCTTTTT